CACCTCGCTCTAGCAGGTTAGGGGGAGGCGGGGACAGGCGGTGCCCGGCATCTTCTGCGACGCACACGGCTGCCGCCTTGGGACTACAACTCCCGACAGGCCCTGCTGCAGGACCCGGGTCCGAGATGGGGCAGAGGGCGAGGCTCGGCATCCGCTGCCAATTCCCCTCGTGACCTGCGCCGCGCTCCTTGGGGTTTCCATGGTGACTCCCGACTGTTCACAAAGCTCGGGCTCTCAGACGAGCTGATGCACTGGTCCCCTGGGAGGACGAGGCGGTCCCGAGGGCAGACCGCCTCCCCTCCCCCTGCAGGACCCCACCCGAGGGGCTGAAACAATGCCCGGCCGCCTCTCCCCCGCGGCTGCAGGCCCTGCCCTTCCCTGCAGGCCCGGCTAGAGCCTCCCGGTTCCTGCCCAGACCCAGACCCAGACCCAGACCCAGACCGACGCCTTCGAAGTGGACACTCAGCGGATTCCAGGATAGAGAGGGCAGGGGCTGTCATTATGGGGAAACGTCCTCCCGTACAGAGTGGACGGCCACCCCGGGCCACCTACGTTTGCACCTCCCCTCTGTTGTGGCTCGAACCCGAGTTCACTCCTGTTGGCGCTCAGCTAGGGCTTCTCCATGCAGAGCCCTCGGGTCCAGCCGCCGCCCTATCTCCGATACCCCTTATTCGGGGGACGGCGGAGCCCCTAGACATGTTTTATGACCATTTACATCTGCTCCACCTTGTATCTTCACGCTTTACATGTGCACATAATTTAGCAAATCAGCAAATCTAAAAAAAGAGGATCATTACGCCTTCGTACCATCTCCTGATCCCCTCAAGCCCTTACCGTATGTTGTTTGACGTATTTGTACTAATAGCTTACATACAGTTTAGTAATTTGCTTCTTTTGACTGAATGTCACTCCAAAAGCGCTGCCATTGAGATGGTGTTAAAGTGCAGCACTGAGACCTTGCTTCCAACTCCATCCCGCGTTCCCGTTCTTCCCGTTCCCTGCCGAAGCCCCTACCCTGCGGCCCGAGGGGTGGGGGGGGGGGGGGGGTGAGGGAGTTCCCGGCTGCGGCTGCTCAGCCCCGAGAGGTGGGTCCCTCGGCGGGATATTTTCAAACAAAACATGTCTCGCTACTCTGGAGGGGGTCCCCTCCCCTCTCAGCAAAACCTACCCGGGCTCTGGCCCGCAGAGCCGCCGAGGTGAGGTGCCCTGGGCCACTTGCCTGCGGTCCTTTGCGGTGGGCTCAGGGCCTGGAGCAGGCCAGGCTGCACTTGGGGGATGCACTTCTGGATTATCTCCATTGAGTTTCCACATCTCCTGGGAGGAAGGTTTACTGCCCTCACCCCAATCATGAGCATATGCAGGGAGCCCCCAAATGAGCCTGGGGCCCACCCCACAGGACCCCCGGTCCAGGCTCAGCAAACCCCAACTTGAAGGGGAGCCTGGGTTTGGCTGTGAAAACTTGGGGGCATGACTCTTCCTTTCCCCCACTGCTCCAGGTTGGGGCACTGACCTCTGGATTCCTCCGGGCAGCTTGGGGAGGCAGTGGAGCCCCATTCCGCGCCTCACAGCAGCTTCTTCAGGTCCATGCGGCACTTCTTGCCCAAGGGGAGGGAGCCCTCTAGTGGCAGTAAACGTTTTCTGCAACATTTAGCGGGCCTCGTTTGGACTCTTGCCTCTTGGCTGTCTTGGACCCACCTCCTTTGGTCAGAAAAGAGCTGGCTCGAAGTCCTCTGTCGACCTGGAACATTGGTGAAAATTGCACCCAAACCTGAGGTTGTGAATGTCCCCAGTAGTTGATTTTAGATTTATTTATAATCTAGGCTCTCTCTCCTGGGAAACAAAGACTACAGGCTGGAATCTTTTGTGCTACTTTCTGGATACTTGACCTTGGAGAGTTAGCCCATTCATCTGAGCTTTGGCTCCCGCACAGAATGTGGGGATCATAACACATTCTTTTAACCTTGTTGTGACAACTACACGAGGAAATGCACACGAAGGGCATGGGGCATGTGGACAGGTGTTGGTTGTACTGGTATTCTGCTTAGTACAATTTGAAGAAAACTGGAGGAAGATGATAATCTTCTAATTAACGCTTTGCCAAGAACTTTAAATATATTAACAGGTATATAAGCTTTATCTGAGTGCCTGCATAAATATGACTTGAGGTCCAACAAGAAAATTTTCCAAAAAGTTAAAATGTATTAAATAGAACTTGGTCCTTTCCTTCAGTTTGTCTCTGATCAGTTGACTAGTCTGCCCTCTCTAATCATTTTCACCAGACACAAAATCTAAAACTCAGGGTGGCATTTCCCTTTTGTCTGGAAATCTCTTAAAGTGCTTTCAGTTACAAGAGAAGGGCAAGGTTTTATTTGCTCCCTCCTCCACTGGGCTCTCTTGTTTACATTTCAGCGGTTTGCGGTGTACAAACGAAGAACTTAATGTTAACACATAAAATATACATGTATGCCGTTAACAGTAACTTTGCTTTAAGCTTTTTTCATTAAAGAATTATTTTTATTTTTATAATCTCCCCACAAAGAAGTTATGAAAATACCTGTCAATACATTGAAAAGTCACTTTAAAATCCTGGGATGAAAAATTTTAAATATGTTGCATCTTCTGTGATTTACAAATAACAGAATTCTGTAAGATAGAGCTTCCAAATGATTTTGACAGACATTTACTAAGAAGAGTCAGAACATTTAACTTTAAAAGATATTCAGTTTCCACCCCAGCTGAGTTTTTGAGAAGCTGCATTTGTTGACAGTTCACCACACGCCAACTCCATAGCCCAATGGCCTGACATTGGTACATGGCTCAGTACCAGTGCCAGGCCATTGGGCCATAGAGACAGAGTGTGTGGCTCTGCCGCCACCAATGAAGTTAATCTGAAGGACAAGGAGTTATAGGCTCCCCCATGCAACTGGCTGGTGTTCTTTTCTTATTTTTTCCCTTATGTGTTAAATAGAAGTAAATATACATATGGTAAAAAAATGTAAATGGGGGGGGGACATTTAAATGGTAATTATCAACAAATCTGACGTCTTCAGAATCACTAAGCAGTCATGTGAGCAATTTATAAACCGAAGTCAACCTCAGAGTCTCTATCTGAAAGTAATTTGCAGGCCTCTGGAACCATGTTGATTTTCTTCTATGTGACCTTGTTGCAGAGGAGAGCCATGAAGTTCTTTAAAAAAACCCAACAATTACAAAACCAACATGCACACTCTGCTGAGAGACGGCACGTCCAGGCAGCATCCCGGACGCCATGGATCGGTCCGGCTCCAGCCAGAGTCCCTGGTATCATCCCTGCAATGAAGAAATCGCATTTACTAACAAGGCATTTTCAAAAGTAAGAAAACCTTCTTTTAAATCAAAATGAGGTTGTCTGGGCCTTATAAGACGAAGAGGCTTAATTCTGACAGAAATTTGGGTCATCTGGTCATTACTTAATAGAAAAATATCTTTATTTAACATTGTACCAAAGGGCACGAGCCACAGAGTCCCAAATACTCAAGGTAAAACCAGGTCAAATTTTTTTCTCGAGAACAAAGGGAAGTCAAGAGGGCAAGGACCTAAGGAGAAGAGAAATTCCTTCAGCACAAATCCCACTCCCCACTGATGAGAGGCTGGGTGCTCCGCG